AAGGACCAACACCCCACCACCTCATAACGCTTCCTCCTCGCTTTCCAAAATTATGCTATTAGTGGTGCAGTAATTAAACTGCGTTTGATTGGTGAGCTGAAATGCATCTGGAGAAAAGAAACACTTAAGACTTTTAGGTTTCGACAAAGCCGCAGCTGCTGGAAGAGTTGGGGACACTGAGAGCAACATTGTATTCAAAGGACGGCAATGACTTGAAGTGCTTTTTTGGCTCTTGACGGTCCATAGATGTTACTGATGCAACTCAGTTGTTCATTTGAGGAATTAATGTACGAGTTTGAAGTGGCTGAAGGACTGATTTCTGTGAATATACTGTGTGGAACAAATTTGGCTGAAAATTTCTCAAAGAAGTTAAGTAAACTAATTTGAATTTCAATTCCAATTCCATGGAGAATGTACCCATTTCATTGAATGGAATGGAATTCAGTGTGGGTGAAATGAAATGGATCTGCTAAGACGTGCTGTAGCTGATAACGTCAAGTATGTGTGAAACAGAAACTGCTTAGCTGGACAAAACAAATTGACAAAGCTCGTGAAATTTTGGATGTGTGCAGACTATGGTTATTCATTCTCTTATTCAGCTGTAGGTAATTTTAGAAAATAGATGAATCTGTCACGGCCGCTAACGCCATCAGTAGTGTCGATGGTGAATTCTTTGGCTCATGACTTAGTCCTTTTTTTCCAATATGCACGTTTTTTGTCAGAGACAGAAGCCCAGGGGCGCCTGGCTCGCTCAGTTGGAGGAAGGCGTGTGACTCTTGATCTCAAGTCGTGAGTTTGAGCCCCGCGATGGAATGTAAGATGGTTAAATACACAGAAACTTTAAAAAAAAGGAAAGAATAAGCCAACTGATACTGACTTGTCCTACTGCACGGCTGCAGTTCGATGACTAGCAGCAGAAAGCTTACTGGCAATTGTTTTCCTATGGAGGAGATGTGTCGTCCGTGCCTGGTACAGTGATGATCCGGGCGGCAAAGGTGGCCATCTGGCGATGTGAAATTGACGCGTTTAATAAGCGGGGAACAGTAACTTGAGCCTCTCTTATGTGAAATAGCCCCTCTCTCATAAAAACTCCATTCTTTTCACTGGTAGACATATTACAAAAATTACTCTCTCTTGTCTATCTTGAATTTCGTCAACAAAACTTTGTGGTCATTTTCTTTCTCTTGTTATATCAGTACTCGCCTTCCTCCGCTTTCCAAAATTATGTTCGTCACTGACCAGTGGTGCAGTAATTAAACTGCGTTTGATTGCAGGAGCTGAAGAAATGCATCTGGAGAAAAGAAACTTACTTAAGACTTTTCGAGTTTCCGGCAAAAGCAGCTGCTGGAAGAGTTGAGGACACTGAGAGCAACATTGTATTCAAAGGACGGCAAATGACTTCGAGTGCTTTTCTTTGGCTCTTGACGGGTCCATAGATGTTACTGATGCAACTCAGTTGTTCATTTGAGGAATTAATGCCGAGTTTGAAGTGGCTGAAGGACTGATTTCTGTGAATATACTGTGTGGAACAAATTTGGCTGAAAATTTCTCAAAGAAGTTAAGTAAACCCTAATTTGGTACAACTAGCCCCGAATTCCATGGAGAATGTACCCATTCCATTGAATGGAATGGAATTCAGTGTGGGTGAAATGAAATGGATCTGCTAAGACGTGCTGTAGCTGATAACGGTCGAAGTATGTGTAGAGCAGAAGACGGCTTAGCTGGACAAATTGACAAAGCTCGTGAAATTTTGGATGTGTGCAGACTATGGTTATTCATTCTCTTATTCAGCTGTAGGTAATTTGCAGAAAATAGATGAATCTGTCACGCGCAATCGCCATCAGTAGTGTCGATGGTGGACTTCTTTGGCTCTCATGACTTAGTCCTTTTCCAACATGTACGTTTTTGTCAGAGACAGAAGCCCAGGGGCGCCTGGCTCGCTCAGTTGGAGGAGCGTGTGACTCTTGATCTCAAGGTCGTGAGTTTGAGCCCCACGTGGAGTGTAGAGATTAGTTAAATACACAGAACTTTAAAAAAAGGAAAGAGATAGAAGCCAACTATTCTGACTTGTCCTACTGCACAGCAGTTCGATGGCTTAGCAGCAGGAAAGCTTACTGGCAATTGTTTTCCTATGGGAGGAGATGTGTCGTCACGTCTGGTACAGTGATGGATCCGGGCGGCAAAGGTGGCCATCTGAGCGGTGAAATTGACGTTTAATGACGGGGAACAGTAACTTTGAGCCTCTCTTATGTGAAATATTATCGCCCCCTCTCATAAAAGAACTCCATTCTTTTCACTGGTAGACCTATATTACAAAAAATTACTCTCTCTTGTCCTATCTTGAATTTCGTCAACAAAAACTTTGTGGCCATTTCTTTCTCTTGTTATATCAGTACTTACATGATATGCTTGATTTTTTCCTCTTGATTCCTAAAGCTCTTTACAGAAAAAGTTAGCTAAGCCCTTGTGTAGATAATGCCTCCCACCTCATAGCATTGTTATGAGTCCCAGCTCCCCCCCAGTTTGGCCAGGGCTCAAGTTTGGCTTACTATGGATTAGCACACTCCTTTAAGTACTTGGCAAATAATACACTAAATCTTCAAAACAACCCTCTGGGGTAGGCACTACCGTTGTTTCCATCTTAGAGGCAATTAGCTTGTGGTGTTGGGAGCTAAGTAACTTCTCAAGATGACCCAGCTGGCAAATGACAGAGCTGACTGGAGAGTCTATGCTCTAAGTCAGGAGGTTGGTGATTTTTTTTTTTTTTTCTGGAAAGAGCTAGACAATAACAATCTCAGGCTTTTTGAACCGAATGGTCTCTGTTGGAATGACTCAATTCTGCTGTTATATTGAGAAAGCAACCGTAGATTAGAAGTAAGCAAGTGGGTGTGGCTGTACTCCAATTACACTTTATTTGCAAAAACTTTATGTTATGCAATACCGCCCATCTCGTTCATTTATGTTGCCTGCCTGGATCTGGTTGGAACCCTAAGTCCCTCCCTGTACAAGTGAATTTTTGTGACGTGAAGGGTCTAGTTTGAGCGGTGACCATAAACCAGATGTGCTCTTCTAGACGCCGCGTATGAAGCAGCGAGAAAGGAAGCAAACATCACATCCTCATGGAGCTTCCTTCCTGGCCTCACCTTACCCCTGGCCCTGGATGGTTGTTACATGAAGAAAGAGTCTGTGGTCAATAAGGCTGGAGACACTGGTGTGCATTCGTGATCTTATCGCACGATTCTTCCAATCCTTTAATAAAGAGTGTGCCTCCAGCATTTCTAAGTGAGAAGGTGGCGGGTGAAAGGGTAGCATGTTCCAAACTGCTTGAACCACAGAACTCCTTCTTACGAAGTGGAGAGATGGCTTTCTTTCCAAGGGGCCTCACACTTGGAAAGATAGCAACAGATGCATATGGCTTCTCAATGTACCTCCTTATGCAATTATGTATTTCTTTACGCAACGCCCAGCCCCCTAAACTAGTCCGGCTTATCCCCTGAGCCCACAGCACTGACAAATGCTCTGCAGAGCGTGGGGGCCCAGGCCAGGGTCTCAGTGGCTGCTTCACGCTTGAAAGGCGCTTGCAAATGTATGGTTATTTCGTCTTCAGAATATCTCCCATTACTCATGCTACAGTAAGGTAATCCAGGGCTGTAGATTATCCAGATGTTAAAAGGTCAGAGCTGTGCTGTCCAACATGGTAGCCTTCGGCCATGTTTCTCGTTCTTTCAGTGAAAATGAATTGTAATGAAGTATAGAAATTTAGTTTCTCGGTCCTCATTTCAGGTGCTCAGTAGCCACGTGTGGCTGGTGGCTACCATATTGGATCGCGCAGCCATAGAACCCTTCCGGCCCTGCAACAATCTCTATTGAACAGCCCTGATGATTTGCCCAAGGCTCCATGGCCCTTCGCAGCCCGATGTGACGCTAGACCTGGCCTTCTGAGCCAGCACTCTCTGAGCGGGCTGCCTTGGGAGAGGAGCTGCTCCCGGGCGACTAAGCCTGTGCACCTGAACGGCCCGCAATCAAAGGAGGGCGGGAGGGACATGATGGCGTAGGCCACGGGCAGGAGGCTGAGGAAGAGCACCAGCAGCAGGAGGCCCATGTAGAAGTTGTTGGATCGGGAGGCTTTGAACACGCGCTCGTGGGGGACGTTGCTGCTCATCACCGCCCAGCACTGGAAGTACATGGAGGTCAGCAGACGCAGCACGTTGATGCCTACCAGTCCTGGGGCATAGAAGGAGCCCATCCTGGAAGGGCAGACAGCACACACCTGGTTGGCCCAACAGCAGGAGAGGCCAGGGAAGGAAGACAGGAGGAAACGGGACCGAGGGGTTGGGAGCACGAAGCCTAGCCGCTTTCCCTGCAGGTCCCGAGGGCTGGGGTCTCCCACGTAAGCAGGACATTTCTCACCAAGCCTTGGCCACCGGTTCCTCAGGGGAAGGAGGCTCTCTGAGCACCCCCGGCTTGGGCTCTGGCCAGGATTTAACCACTGTCTCACCACAAGGCACCTAGCAAATTTTTTGGCCTCCGGTCCATTTCTCCGTGGCCCCCCTAAAACAGCATTGCTGCCCAGAAAAGTATCTGAAGTCCTTAAATTGAGAGCATTGGACACTGGCTTGCGGCAAGCCCTCGGAAGTCTTGAAAGTCTTTGGCTGAAGTTACACAGCCTTTTCTTCCAACTCGTGTCTCAGAGGAGGGAGCCCCTTGGCTCCTTTACTCTTTCTCTCCTTCCTATTTTCTCCCTCCTTCCCTCTTTCTTTCCTTTCCCCTCTGTTTCTCCTCCCTCTCTCCTTTTTTTTTTCTCCTCCTTCCTCCCCTCTCTACTTCTTCCTTTTCTCCTTCCTCCTTCTCATTCCCCTCTCTTTCTTCCTACTCTCCTCCCCTCCCCACTCTATGGTAGCACATGGGTTGGCCAGACACTGCCCTGGTTCTCATCCCATCCTGCCCTCTATTTGTCATCTCAAAAGAGGCAGTTCAGAGAGGTCTGAAGATTTGTCCAGCCTCTCCCCAGCTAGCTGGGGGGCAAAGCCTGGGATGCCACTTTTCTGACTCCCCCGATGAGGTGGTCCCCAGATAGAAAATGCAGAGCTCACCAGATCATTCCTTGATTGAAGATCAAACCGAGTACATTTCCACTGATATCGAACTCAGCGTAAGAGGGCTGCAGGGGGAGGCAGACAGAGAGAAAGGAATCCGTTAGGTATCAGCCAGCCTCTATTACCAGCCAACTGGCTAAGCCAAGGCCACTCTATCCCAAAGGGCCTGCTCTGGTGACTGAAGAAACTTGGGTTTCACGGCTCTGTTTCTTTAACACGTTTTCCACGTTTCAAGAGAAGATTTGAAGTTCTCAAAGTTGAAATTTTTTCCAATGACTTTTTCGACGAAAAAAGTGAGAATTTTTACCTTTAAGGGATTACAGGCCAACAGTGTGTTCTTGGGAGGGCACTAGCCCCTAGGAGAACATTTTATCAATGCTCTAATCAGAGATGGACCTTGAAATTATAGCCGAGGCATAAATCGAATAAATAACCAAATGCGAGTAATCAGATGAGGAGTCAAATAAAACCATAGTTTTGAAAGCAAACAGTCAGGGGCACCTGGGTGGCTCAGTCGGTTAGGCGACCGGCTTCTGCTTAGGTCATGATCTCACACTTGTGAGTTCGAGCCCTGTGTCGGGCTGACAGCTCAGAGCCTGGAGCCTGCTTCAGATTCTGAGTCTTCCTCTCTCTCTGCCCCTCCCCTACTCGCACTCTGTCTCTCTCTCTCTCTCTCTCTCTCTCTCAAACATAAATAAACATAATAAACATTTTCTTAAAGCAAACAAGCAAACAAAATAACTAAACCACTCTTTCAATTCTCTTTTCTCCTTTTCACCTTCCTCTAGTCTCAGAGCAGTTCATGGAAAGGAAAGAGTTCAGCCAGATTCCTATTTTCAGCCTGAATCTGATTTTCAGAGTTTCGGAGATCTGTCAACTATGTGAAAGAACGCAAAGTGTGTGAGCACTAGGGAGTTGGGCCTCCTTATGCAGCATGCTTAAACCGACTTCCCCATTTGTCCTTCGGGAATGGAGGTCAAAGGTGACAGGGGGGAGGAGGAGGAAGAAGTCAAGAGAGAGAGAAAGGAAGGTCAGGCATGGATCAAGGGAGGAAACATACATATTCCAGATACGTGAGGGTTAAATCTTAGAAATTTGAAATTTAACATTTAAAAATATTTTTAAAAACTTCTCATCTGCTGGGTTTTGTGTCCTGGTTAGAAAATTTTTCCTCACCCCAGGGCGCCTGGGTGGCTCAGTCAGTTGAGCATCCAACTGTTGATTTTGGCTCAGGTCATGATCTCATGGTTCGTGAGATCGAGCCCCATGTCAGGCTCTGCACTGACAGAGCACAGCCTGCTTGGAATTCTCTCTTTGCCCCTCCCCCCCTAAACAA